CCGGGGGGCAGGCCCCCCCCCCTGCCGCCCCCCCGCTCGGCGCGGGCCCTGGGGGTGGCGGGGGCCCGCAGCTGGGCCCGGGTGGGCTGGCGCAGGGCCCCTCCGCCCGCCGCCGCCTCGCTCGGCGCGGGTCCCCCGTGCAGGTGTTTTGTAACGTTTGTGAGTTCTTACTTCCACGAACAACACATAGTTCACAGCAGATATATATGTAGCTAGTGAGAGACAGAGAGAGAGATAGAGATAGGGATAGAGAGAGATCTAGAGAGAGATAGAGATCGAGAGATAGAGATCTAGAGAGAGGCTGAGAGATGGAGATAGTGACAGAGAGATAGAGATTGAGAGATAGAGTGATATACAGAGATAGAGGTAGAGAGATAGGGATAGAGAGATAGAGATTGAGAGATAAAGATAGAGAGACAGAGTGGTAGAGATAGAGATAGAGAGATAGGGGTAGAGAGATAGATATTGCAAGATAGAGATTGAGAGATAGAAATAGAGATTGAGATATAGAAAGATAGAGATAAAGAGCAATAGAAATTGAGAGACAGAGAGTGATAGATAGATAGAGACATAGAAACCTTCACAGGGTCCTCTCATTGCTGCCCACCCCCAGGGTCAGATCCAGCCAGCCCTGATCATGGGCACACATGTGCTTGTGTGTTTGGGGAGGTCTCCACATGTGACCCTTGAACCTTCCCATGGGGACCGACCTCACAGATAGCTGCCTCGCTGCTCACCTCTGCCCCATGTTACCAAACGTTTATTTTAACGCCCACTTGGTTGAACTGATTTATCCTATTATTAATGATCTTCCTTAAAGAATGTTTCCAGTATTTTTAACATTTTTTTTACTTAATTTTATTTATTGTTGTTATTATTTTAATTTGCCCAGGGAGAGACAGAGAGAGAGGGGGAAAGAGAGAAAGCAAGTCACCTGGTCTGGGACTCAAACAGTGGTTAGCCATGCTGAAATTCAGCTCCCTTAACCACCATGCCACCTGCTGGCCCCTGTTTCCAGGTTTTTTTTTTCTTTCTTAATTTAATTTAATTTTTATTTCCCTAAATAATGTTTCCAGTTTTTTTTATTTTTAAATTTATTGTTCTCTGTGTTTTTGAGACAATTGACTGTTTCTTATATTTTGAAAAGAAAAGGGAACCTAACACCCAAAATTTAAAGAAAAGTAACTATGAGAAGGAAAAAGAGAAAACAGCACTAGCTCACGTTAGCTCACGTCAGCTCACATCTCTTCTGCCACAGTAGGCCCCGACGTCTTGGGGCATTTTTATCCAGGCAAGTCCGTGTGTTTCAGACCCCGGCCGAGGTCGCGATGCTGGTACTGGAGCGCCTGCAGGGCAGCTGGCTCTGGCGTAGCCTCCCCGGGCCGTGCAGAGCAGCTTCCGGACAGCGCCTTCTTTACGTTTATTTCCTTGGTAGCACCTCACGTTGGAATTTATTTCTCCCCTGAGGGAGGGACAGAGACATGAGAGTCAGCAGGGTCTTGGCGCAGCGATCCGCCCCCACCTCGGCCAGCCCGGACCATGGGCGCGAGAGCACCTGGGGTCAGAGAGACCCCCACAGGAGCTGGCACCCCCGCGGGTGGCTCAGCCTGGCAGAGAGGCTGGTCTCCCTGCTGTGCCCCACGGCCGTTGCCCAGTGTTTAATTATGAAGAAAAACGCTCTCGTAAAGAACCCCCGCCCGGTGAGCTGTGCGACCACCGAGGCTGCTCTGTGCACGGAACCGGGCGCCTCGCCCGGCCAGCCGCAGCAAGCTTTCCTGGGCCAGCGCTCTTCCTATCGGTCCAGGGAGGGTCGGGTGACGTTCTGTCCAGGACAAGCCGTGACACGGAAACTGAGGGGATTTGGGAACGCACCTGCCGCATAGCAAGGGAGTTTTTCACTGTTTATTTACATCACCTGATTTTAGGTGAAGTCAAAAAAATTTTTTAAAATATTCTGACATGGGGAGCCAGCAGGGGGCACAGTGGTGAAGGTAGATTCTCACATGGCCAACCACAGTTCGAGTCCCAGATCCGGCGGCTGGAAACTCACGCTGGGCGTAGGTGCGTGGGTGCCAAGAATCCCAAGAAGAGGATGGAGGAGGATTGTGGCGTGGGGTGACTTCTTCCTTTCCCTCGCTCTTTCCAGTGAGTGCACGCGTCCTATAGTGAAAACCTAAGTAATACTAATTTTCAAGTTCTGATGTGGCTTTTCTGGCCTTTTTCCAGTGCTCTGCGGAGGGGGCGAGAGCTTTCTCTGTGCCAGCGGGATCTGCATCCCCAGGAAGCTGCAGTGTAACGGCCACAACGACTGCGACGACTGGAGTGACGAGGCGCTCTGCGGTAGGTGGCAGGCGGGCGGGCGGCAGGCGGGGCTCCACCCAAACCGCCCATAGGCTGACACCAGCCTCCCTGTGGCTGCTGGACGGCGGGTTTTCAAACCCAAACCGCCCACTGTCAAGCTGACACCAGCCTCCGTGTCCGGGGTCGGGCGGCAGGGCCGCATCGGGGCCTCAAACCCAAACTGCCCACGGTCAGCTGACACCAGCCTCCGTGTGGCCTGCTCTGGGGCGTTCGCCTTTCCAGGCGGGCCACTGTGCTTGGCGTCTGTCTTCCCCAGGGAACCTGCAGTGTGTTTGCACAGCACTCAAAGGCTGGGGTCATTAGGCGCGCACCAGCTGGGCGCTGGGTAGGGGCAGGTCCATGACCGAAGTGTTTCGGCATAGCATATCTTAGACCTGGGAGAAGGCCTTTGGTTTATTTCGTTTGGATGAGGATTTTTGCTTTTAAACCTTTATGAGTCAATGCTTTTAAAAAGGAACATTTTTTTTTTTTGAGAGGTTTTTGCTATAGGGTGCGTGTGCTCGCCAGGAAGACAGAGAGACAGAAAGTGAGAAATCAGCCTCCAGGGGGGATGGCCACACCACAATCCCTTCTCCTCCATTCTCCTCTTGGGATCCTGGGCATACACGCACATGCGCCTGGTGTGAGTTGAAGCCACTGGGTCCAGGACTCGAACCGCAGTTGACTAGATGGGAGTCCAGTGGCATAGCCATTACCAAAAAGAGACGTTTTTAATAGGAAAAATTTTCACCCTAGTCCTTCTTCTTGTTCTTTTAATTTCCAGAGGCACTTTTGCTTATAAGAGACAGAGAGAGAGAGAAGACCCCTCTCCCCATGGTGTGGTCATGCGGTAAATCCTTTCTCCTCCACTTCTCCATCCTGGGGGGATTTGGGGCATGCATGCACATGTTTCTGGCTGGTTTTCAAAGCTGATGGGGCTGGGATGTGAGCCACGTGGTTGCCTATGTGGGATTTGGCTTTTTCAACCACAGACTGGGGCTGCCCCCCAACGATCTTACACATTCATGACGCAGCAGATAGAAAGCCTCTTAGTTGTTCATACTTCCTGTAAACCTGGAGATCGTCAACGGCTCTAATTATTTTAAACCCGCTGATTGGTAGACACACAGTCTTAAATATCCTCAGTGTACTTCTGCATGGATTCGATTTGTCATTTTGACTGAATTGCCCCGTGGTCTGTTCCACAGAGGATCAGATTTCAAGCTGTTTGTACTTATGTACCAGGTAGAGGGGAACTGGCCTTGAGAATTATGTTGCGTGATCTGGATTCAAAACCGAGCCGTGTGGTATCGTATTCTGATTGCTTTATTTTAGAAGTTTTTGTTTTAGGGCATATGCACTTGCTGGAGAGAAAGAGAGACAGAGACAGTGAGAGGGAAAGTCAGAAATCACCCCCAGGAGGGATGGCCACACTGCAATCCCTTCTCCTCCATCCTCCTCCCAGGATCTTGGGCACGCACGCACATGCACCTGGTGTGAGTTTCAAGCCACCGGGTCCAGGGCTCAAACTGCAGTGAGCCATGTGGGAGTCCAGCAACGAAACCACAACACCATCTGCTGGCCTCTCTAATTTCTTTTTAATGGCCATAGAGTCAGCCGAGTTTAGGATGGGAAGAGCTGAGTTTTCCCCCCAGGAGAACTGCGGAGACATGATGGGGCGCCAACTGCTGGCCTCAGCAAGAGCTCCTCTGGCCTGTCGCCAGGAGGCCCAGCGTCCCCACTGGAAGCGGCAGCACGCCCCTTTGCCAGCACCCCTGAGAGGCAGAGAGTGTGGTAACACTTCAGGTCAGTGTTTTCCAAACCCATCTTCCATAGCATCTGAGCCTTAAAAAAATGCCCAAGCACCTCCTCTTGGTAGAGACCCACCTCTTAGGGAGGCACGGCACGGGTTCGAGAGCGAGGGCTGGAGAGCTAGGGCCCTGAGAAGCCTGCCGTTGAATGAAAGGCGCTGATTTTGCGTAAGCTGGTACTTCCTCAGTCATTTCCTCTGCGAACCCCGCCCTTCGTTCCCCCTGCACTTCCTCACGCTCACTCACGACGGGGCCTCCTGAGGCTCTTCAGGTCCGCGCCTGGCTGCAGGGTGCTGCTTCAGAAGACGTGTGTCTCTTCCACCTCGGAATTCTCTCTTCGGAAAAACCCCCGGCACACGAATTTCCATGAAGACTGTTTTCAGAAGATGTATATTTACAGGGTGGAGCATGGTTGCGGGTTTAGCAAAACACACCTTTTAAAACGGCCACAGTAGGGAAACGCAGATGGGTCGGTAGCGTTAGAGCCAGTTCATGGACGTGCAGTAGGCGTGCTTAGCTCCCAGAGGGCCTGTAACTAGGACAGTGTTGGTCAAGTCTGTGTGCCTCTGCCCTGGGACGGGCCCACACTGGCTACCCTGCATTCCTTCACGGGCCACGCTTCACCCTCGGAGCAGAGCGAACACTTGCTGCTGCGTTGTTGTTGAATTGGGAGAGGCCCTTCTACAGCAGCCGAACCAGAGGTGCGAATTCTGCAAGGGACGTGCCGGTGTCCCAGGACCTGCGGGTGTAGGGACGACAGGTGTGGGCTTTCCTCATGAGCATTCACAGTAGCCGGATTTGGTCCACTGAGAGAATACAGCCCCTA